GTCTTTACAGCCAACATTTGGCCAGCTGTCATCTGGCTCAGGGTAGCCCGTGAGTCCTCACTTAGCCCCCCTTCGAGAGGAGGGGGTATCTGGAGTTTCCCTTGGCAAGTCTCAGAGGGAGATGCAAACAGAAAATGACTGTTTTGCAGACCATTTGTTTGAGTTCTTTATTAAAAACTAATTTAACTCACATGTACGAGGAACTAGATCCAACATATATCACAATACAGAGGAGATGACACAATGGATTGTGATACTAAAGCCATATGACAGTCTCAATTTTTAGGACTGAATTTAATTGGAAAACTCAGGCGAAACACTTCCAACACACATTCAGTATAGACTTCTTGAATGTTACTGTTTACATCTGGGTAACAGTGCACATCCTCACAACGCTGGAGGGCAACAACATTGTCTCCAGCCATTATCCAGCGGCGCTGCCTCTGCTCAGCCAGTGCTTCTTTCCCGGTTACTCATGCTCCGCAGCTGCACATCATTTTATATAAAAACATATAAGTCATTAGATGGCTTTTACTTGTTCACATCTGGATATGTGGGGCAGATATTTCACTACTGTATTCTGTCATGTGACTTTGACTGCCACAATGTGGGTGGATTATCCACTTTCTTCATGGCTGTTAACCATTGCCTTCTGTGTTTTTATCAGCTGGAAACCTGTAAAGTTTTACGTTGCTGTTCGTCTTCGGTCTGTTTGTGCAGCCTACAGATGTTCATGTGAAAACCATGCTTTGGTTTTTGTTGTCGTGTTTATCTCAGTTAATTGACAACTGACAGGTAATAAAAAGGGTGGTCAACAAGGGAGGCTGTCTTCTTGCCCTCTGGCCTGAAACTGGAGGACATGGGTGCCTGATGTCATGTGTCAAGGGGTCTATTGAGAGCCTAAGTCATGCCCATCTACTTCCGGACGAGTACCAACTCCCCCCCCCCCCCCCCCCCCCCCCCCAAATTTATGTGAGTCTACAGGAGGTAGAAGTTTTTTGCTGATCCTGTTTGACATGTGCCATGGATTTCACACATGACGTCTGTGAAATTTAAAGACATTTTGATGCAAAACAGCACTTATTTTTGACAGGCAGCAAAAGTCATTTTAGGTTTTGTGTGACAAGACGTGCAGTCAGATGGACGGCAAATGTTCATCTCATCAAACTAGACACGAAGAAGAAAAATGACTGTGATTTAAGCAAGCTTCGAATCCTGTAAAACAGAAAATCACTCCAAAACTGACCATGTGGTAAGTAGCTACACTGGCGGAGAAGAGATTCTGCCGTGATGTCATATGCGGTGTCTGATTTGTAGTTGTTTTATTAACAATTTATTACAAGCTAACAAATCTAATATTACATGACAGACATAGTCAAAACTCACATCATTTCTTTTCATTTAAATTGAAATCCTACATTTGTGCGATTCAGAGCGTAAGGCAAAGCGGATTAGAAAATAGTTATTATAGCTCCATTCACTTGAATTCATTTTTGTGTTGTTCAAGGGGGGCCATGAGCCTATGTCTCCTCATATAACTTGAGCTAAAAGGGAATGGGGTGGTAGCAGAGAGTTATTCCCAACATTTACTATGAGATTATGTAACATAGTGCACTACAATTGTGCTCGGCTTCTAACCAAATCATCAAAGTTGACCCACGTCACCCCACTTCTCAAGCACCGTCATACATTGGTGATCTTCTTAGTCCTTACACCCCCAGCAGGTCCCTGAGGTCCCGTTACCAAAGCCTACTGGTTGTGCAGCGCACCAGGCTAAAGACCAAAGGTGACAGATCATTTGCTGCTGTGGCCCCCAGACTCTGGAACTCTCTCCCCCTGAGCCTGAGATCAGTGGACTCAGTGGTCTCCTTTAAAAAGCAGCTTACTATTGCTTTTTTCACCTTATTTTTCAGATTTGACCAAAACGGCGATAAATCCATCATTTCCTAACATAAAAAGATCTCGGTTCCAAACTCTGATGCTAACATGCATTTCTTTAAATGCTGCGCTTAGATTAGACTTAGCAAAAAAACTGTTTTCACAACCCAAAAACAAAATAGCCATTATGTAATTTTGGTGCACTGTAATTGTATTTTAAGCAAAACACAGACATTGAATTAATTCCCTCTAGATTATTTTAAATGAAAATAGAAACATCAACAGGACTGATGCAGAACTGTGAATGACTTTTTGGGTTATTCGTACCAAACTGAGATGATTCATGTCCGTAATGTGAGATGTGGAAACTGACCATTTTTGACAGTGGTGGTTGAGTCGCACAATGTTTCAAACTGTACTGCATGGTGAGATTTTAACTTTGACTCCAGTGGAATGAGATGGCAATGTTGAACTCTAAATCACCCCTGTAACAGCCGCCGGACACATCAGGGACAATATAGCAAGCATTATGAGGACGTCTGATGTATTTGAATTCAATGTAAGGTAATGTTCAAAAACATAGAAAGCAGAAAACTCAATTCTGATTCCATTAAGGGCAAATTGTCATGAGTCCAAGAGGCACTCAGCAGTTGTGACAGAATGGATTTTATTTGGGTTTACTGGATGACATCTACTGTTTCTGTCCAGATTCCATCGTCTAATCAATGCTGCAAGATGCAATAAAATATGTACAAATGTATACCCACAGAACAGCAGTCTCAGCAGGGTTAATCAAATCCATTTAGACAGGTACAATGAGATAAACTGAGAAAAAGTGAAACAGACTTTATTGTGGTTTTTCATGCACATTTGATTATTCCGATCTCCCCACTTTCTGCATTTCTTAAAAGTTATTTGAACCCCATCTACACAACTGTAATATAACATGGTGTACTTGACAGGGCTTAAAATTCTCCAGAAGAAAAGTCATTCATCATGGTATAATAACAGTACCATTCTCCTACCAGAACACTTTTCTACTATTACAATCTTCTCACTTTACTGAGTGCCATTCTAACCACAATGCTTATATGATCGGGCAAGGTAGCTCAACCATCAAATGTGATCTGATTCCAGTCTTCCTTCCTTTGCACACAGGAACAAATTAGTGATTGGGGGGAAAACAAATAAAATGTTTTGGCTGCATTGCAAATACAAGAAACTAATCTAGAGGATCCAAATGCCTGTGATGATGCTGTGACTATTTTGAGATTTTGACTTGAAAGGTCAAAAGGTCCCACAACCTTTTCAAGGAAACAGAACTATGGCAAACCTTTCTAAACATTTTGAACGCTGTGAAGGAGGTGTACACGCTGACACCAACGGTTGGTTACAGCTCAGGGAGACACTGGCTTCAGCATCACTGTGAGTAGACAGGTCCATCTGATGGGATGATTTGTTATCAGGATGCAGAATCTATTATTGTTGTTTTCCCCTCCCATCCCCCACCACTGTTCTAGCCTCTCCTGTTACTTTCTAATGTTTGATCCTCGTCTCTTGCTTCTCAGCTTGTCCGTTATGGCTCAAGCCCAATAAGGTCTGTTGGGCCACAAATCCAATAACATTAACTACACAACAGGTGGCATATCTCAGACTCCTCTTTTATAGAACATTTTTGAAAATGCTACATGTGCACACAGGCGTTGGCATTTTGCACCCCAGAAAAAGTAAAAATCTTTGAATCACTCATAACCTTTGTCACTTTCAAACTCAGAGTTGCACCCCCCCCCCCCCCCACACACACACAGCTGTATCTACAAGATGAGCGACAATAAAAAGGTTAAACAAAAACTCATTTGAAGAGCCAACAACGCAGTCTGCAGCAGAGTTACACACGTGAGAACCGAAACCTCACACCCACCGCCACACTGCTTTAAAAAACAACTACTAAACACTTAAGGGCTGCACTGCTTGCTCAAATGAACTCTCATGCATAGTTAGACTTATTTACATCCATGATCAGAGTTTATTTGAAGAGAACACGTTCACTCTCAGCAGCTTCAGAAACAGCAGGAAGCAAAGCCTGAAAAGCTCCTCAAGTGGATGAGGAAGTTAAACTTTAACACTTTAACTGTTTGAAGGACTCTCAGCAGACACACACACACACACACACACACACACACACACACACACACACTGATAGAATGACGCTGAAAGAAAGCCGTTTTTCTTCCAGATCGTGCTGACTTGTTTGAGTGTACAGTGGGGGGATGTGTGTGTGATTATTTATTCATTGAAGCTGTCATTCCAGTGTCTGTGTGGGGGTTGTGTGTGGATGGGAGGCAAGGCCATCAGATCTCAGGCTTACATCAAACTGCACATGACTGCAGGAGTCCTGCATAATGTCTCAGTGCAGATCAGAGGTGCAGATGCACCGATTCTGGTTTTCAGGGCCAATACCAACATTTGATTTTTTTTGTTACACCAGCAGATACAGGTTTATTAAAAGAAATGGCGCATAATTCATATGAAATAAATACATAATTATAATACATGTAAAATGGAATATAAATTAAATAAATCACAGATTACCAAAGAAAAACACAAATAACTAATCAGCATGACACATTAAAATTCTTGTAAGTGATGACGAGTTCACTGACTAAATATATATATTTAAAAAACACAATCATGCTGAATTTTGGCTGATTCTTTTAACATGTCACTAAATCTCAATTTTGGTTTTCTTGTCTCCAGTTGCAGATGATTATCCTCCACTAAAGGCAGGTTGCTGCATACTTGAACTCTATGATGACATCCCCCAAACCAAAGCCTTGGAGCAACTGTTTTTTACTGAAACTCCATTCTTCACCATTGCAGCATCTCATTTGGCTCCTATGCACCCAGAGTGTTTTCAATTCTGCAAATAAACCTGCAATCTATTGTCCACCACTTCCATCAGCACCAGTTGTACCTAACCACTATTGATCAGCCTATAGGTCCACAATCATTTTTGTAATGATTTCTGATGTTTTTCTCTGACATAAACATGAGAACTAATGAAAGCTGTTGCATCCACAAACCTCAGCCAGAGAAAGTAAACTCTGGACTAAATCACTCACCTCAACACCAAAGAGTAAACATTTCCATGGACGCCCATGCACATGAACGCATCAAAAGAAGAAGATGATGATCAGTTGCAAAGCATCCGCAGCAGATGGGCGGCTGTTGGTGCCAGAGTGATTTGGCACTGCATTTCAGCGCAGCACAGGTGCCTCGGTCCAGATCCTGCTCTGCCCCCTTTAGATCCAGGACGTGACGGACAACACTCAGGTACGCTGAGCCACACACCCTCCGCCTGTCAAACCGACGCAGAGGAGAGAGGATGGACGGTATCGCTCCGCCAGCAGTGATGGTGCTGAAACTGCACGTAGAGCTGCTGCTGCAGGGCACTGGGAGTTTCGCACGCATCAAGCACGCTCCACCTGGGATGCGGCTGAATTTGGCATTTTTTCGCTTAGCGCAAAAGACGGTGTGTAACTGTCGGAAGGCACTATTTTAACGTGGCGAGCAAGGATAAAAGAGATGTAAAGGGGCAAGCCGGAACAAGCCGCTTTTCGAGCGAGGCGTGGGCTAGCTGCTGCGTTTTTAAAGGAGCAGAGCGGAGACGCACACCGGCAGCAGCGTGTGTGTGTGTGTGTGCGTGCGTGCGCGCGCGCGCCTGGCAGGTATCAGGAAGTTTATCACTGAAAAACAGAGCAGACGAAACTCTGAGCGCCTTTGTTTGTCTTTACAGAGCCGAACAAGGAAGTTAAAAGGCGGAAGAAAATGTTTAAATCCTGCCTCCTTGTACCACTTTAGTTTGGCAACCAAACATGAGCAATAATCAGCCAATAAATGTGATTTGGGAACTTATTTAAGACTTTCCACCTTAAAAGAAATCAGTGTCACATTAAATCCTGCTGCAGGGAGTAAAATAACACCAAGAACTGCTGACCAACCTTTCAAGTCTTTAATCCAATTAAACGAGTCCAGGCCTTGCTGACTTAGCCATGCATCTACATTATCTCACGCTTCATCAGTTTAATATAATAATACTTCCTTAAAGACTAGATGCTCTTAAAGAGAAGTTTAGGATAAATCTAAGCTCTGGATATGGTTATCCTTCAAATAGCTCTTGACAAAAAAACAACTTGCATTTTGTGAATCAACATTTTGTAAATTAGCTTGTGCTTAATGATGTTCATACACTTACGACAAAACAAAACAAAACAAAACATTTTTTAGTTGATCAGCTATGTGTAAAATGTAGGCTGTTTTAGCTTTATGCAAATGCTTAATCTCGTGACAAAAACATGACCCCCAGCAGCCTTAACCCTGATTTTTTTCAAAAGAAAACCCAGATAAACTACAAATAAATGACTGAAAAGCATTGTATTATTTGTGAGTTTTGAAGGAAAGGATAACATCTAAAATCACATGACCACTGATGTCACTCAACACACCATGAGAGCATGAGTACAGACGCTTCTGCTTTTGCTCCCTTATCTTTTTTCCCAAGGCTCTTTGTCCTGTCTGCCTACAGAGCGCTTCTCTGCATTTCTTCTGCAAATCCCTATTTTTCAGAAATGGTTTTATTTAATTGGTCATTCACCGCGATTGATAAGATTTTTTCTACGATAAAACGGAGGAGGGGGCTCCCACTTGCCCGCAAGGGACACATGCAGCGGGATATGCGTTCGATTCCTGGAAGGTGTGGAGGATCGTTTGTCTCTCTCAGCTGTCCATTGAGGACGTCGAAGATATGTGGATATTTGGCCTGATGATCACTGGATTTCTTCTGATTGGAGTGGGAGGATATCTGGTTTTCTGGAAATTTGGGAAGACGGGAGCGATTGGAGGGCGACCCGCACCCACAGAAAGCACCGCCCGGGCGGAGACCTCACAGACTGGGACGTTACTCGAGGTGAATCGTAAGGTGGACAATGTCCTAGCTGCGTTGCCGGTATTAGTGCGCAAGATGGATATCATCTCGGAGAGGGTCACCGGACGGTGTGGAGATGTTTAAAACCTAAATTGGCTTCACTGAAGGACTGGAATGACTAGTTACAGACTGAAGGCAGAGAGGAAAATTATCTCTGCCTGACCCAAACAAAGTCTTGTTATCCAAATCTGACGCCAAGGCAGCCTTCGAGATGCCAACAACAACAACCCCCACGAAGGAAGGAATGAAGATGCTGTGAAAACCCGACCCCCCCCCCCCCCCTTCAGATTGTGGACTTCTGCCTAGCGAGGTCATCAACCTGCAGGGTATGTGCTCTGCGTTCCTCCCAAGATCTCCCTCCCACCTGTGGTCTACAGTGGAGCGCCGTACATGCCGTACATGGCTGCTCTCGCTGGGGGAAACAGGATCCCATCCCCCCCTGCCTTCCTATTGTGATGTTGTGGTATCTGTTGCTTATCTGTTGAGGTGTTTTTTTCGCAGAGCAAAGCTGCCCTCCTGGGGGGAGAGTAGCTGTGAAGTGCCTTTTTTCCCCTCCTCCCGAATCCATTCCTCATGTTATCCTTTTCTCTCTCTATTAAGGTAGCGCGACTCGGTTGCGAATGACCACAGTCACCAATTCTTGTCATGTGTCTTGCCCAGTATGTCTGATCTCTGAATTGTGTGTACTGAAACTCTAATTTCCCTTCCCTGGGACAAATAAAGCTTTTCATTTCATTTTCATTTAAGTGTGCAAATGAAAGTTGTGCATTAATGACATCAAAGTCACTAGTGAGAAAGTAAAGAGGAAGAAGACAGAAATACATATGTACCTTAAATTCCTGCTGATATTTCTTCTACCGTCTTCTGTTCTTTTGCCTTTGAAAAACAGATTTCAGTGCGAGGCAAGGAAGGCCAGTGGCTGCACCAAGAAGACCCCAATTAGTTCAAACACATTGGATCCTGGCAGTATGGAAAAAGCTGCAAAAGGATGTTGCCTCATGAAGAAACAGTGATTCGAGAATCTGAAAGATAAAATCGAGAACCCATTTCTTCTGCAGAATCAGAACTCTTGAGTCTGAGGCTGTCGAACAAAAATCTCCTCATTGCAAAAGTGAGAAAAATGACTAAATTTCAGAGCAGGTCATTGATCTTGAATGAAGCAGGAAGACATGAACAACTGTCTTAATGAGAAGAAAGAAAAAGGAATGGCTGCACATAGCATTTGTTCATCAACAATTTAAAGAATAGTGATCTGAGGAAGAAAATGAACAAGGATCAGCATCAAATCTGCAAAGATGTCAGAACAGAAGATGAGTCCAGATTTTTAGGCCCACAAGAAAATACCCCACTGAAAGAAAACTGGTGAAAGGAGAGAAAACAGCGAAGCATTTAAATATTGGAACAGCAGCTGAGACTTGGTAAGGAAGACAAGGAAGAGGAAGGCCCAAGATCTCTGAAGGAGATCAACGATCTAGACAAAAAGAACGGTGACCTGGGTGTGATGGTGATTAAGTTGCCTCTAAGAAGATACATGCAGAGAAGAAACTTCTTTAGGAGCAAAGATCATTTCAGATTCCAGCTAAAAAAAAAGCCATTGTTCTGCAAGAATTTGGAAAATAGACTGAAAAAAGAAATCTAGCTAAGACTGAACTGAAGAAAATCAGAGGTCAAGTTAGTGTAGAAAATGGGAATCTGAAACAGAATATCTGCAAAGAAAAAGATGGACCAGCTGGCCCAAACTAGCAGGAATAATCAGGCAGGCATCAAGAAATTGGAGGAGCTGAAAACATTTAAACATCAGTTGGAAGAGAACGTTTTACTGTTTGTTTCATCAACTCACCCAGGTTTACAGTGCATCAATTTAATTTAATTTATTTCTAATGCAAAATATGACTAAATACTCTCAGATTTGTTTTCAATCTTTACTAAGTTAAAGACAAACTTTAAAATCAACTATTAGAGTAATTTATTTGATCATTTTTAGCTAAGTGTTGTTTTGTCAGATAAAATATTCCAACATTAATCATATATCTTGAGCTATAAATAATTAAAATAAACACATCTGTGTCCTCTGTTTCCTGTTCCCTTTAACCTTTACCTCCATGTCTGTCTCCCAGTCATAATAAAGCCCCCTCCTGCCATTTCTACTGGTTTGGTGTGTTTATGCATGCAGCTCTTTGGTGGTGCACATGTGTATGCAGGCATTTGACCCACTTCTAGGAGACAGTAGCAGGGATTTTTAAGAGGATCTAAAATCAGTGGCACAAGCAGATGAATAAATCTCCATTGGTCCCCCATGCTCAAACAAAGGCATGGAGTTCTACAGTGAATAAACACGCTGCCATGCCTTCTTTGTTTGGTTGCACGAAGATCCAGTGGTGTCTCAGATGCCCACCGGCTAGTTGTTGCATTCAGTAATATAAGTGATGATGACATTTCTGGGCCAAAAGGATAACCGAGGGATAAAAGTAGCAGCGTGAAATGAAGGAGCTTGGAAACCCTCTCAGCCGTGCAGGAGAACCCAATTGCTTGCAGAGTCATGCACACGGTTTCAGAGAGGTCAAAAGGTGAAGCAATACCTGTGTCTGAAACTCCTGTGTGCTTCAGCGGTGGTAACAAGTAAACACTTAGCATTTTTATAAGACAGGGAACTAAAACCTATACATCTGGTTTATTGAGTTTTTAGAATTGGACATGAAGTAAATTACACTACATGTGTCATGGCTTAAAATTACAATATATGTGATGTAAAAATACCTTTGATGTAACTGTGTGTTCAGCCACATCAAGCAGAAAAACTGAGAGTATTTTTTCCTGAACATATTGATCTGTCATTGTGAAAAAAAATTGGTTAAAGTCTAAACAACAATGTCTACATGAATAGTTTTAAACTCTCGCATTGCTGCTCAAATTGCCTTGTTTTATTCTTTTTATTCTTTTTTATTGAAAATTGTTTGCAATTTTAATCTGTTTTCTGTTTATTGTTGATCTCTTTGTATTTTAGTTAAGTGTATTCTACTTTTTAGAAAGGTTCTATGGACAAGTGTTGCAAATTAGCACGTGTGTTAACACACTAAACAATGCACCTGGTTCATCCATTGTAATTGCTGTGTCCATGTCAAATAAACGTCACATACATCGCTTGGGGCATAGAAAGTCTTTTGCCCATACCTGCTTGAATTATTATTTTCAGCTGCACCCAAATCAACAATTCTAATTAGTCATAAAGCTTTGTTTAGATCCAGCAAGAGGGTTGCAGGTTCAAATCTTGCCAAAAGTGTTTTTGCTTTGAGTTGGCATGTTCTCCTTATACATGCATGGGTCACTCCACCTTTCTTCAAGAGACCAACCACCTACCTGTCACGTTAACTGGATATTCTAAATTGTCCCTGTGTGTGTGTGTGTGTGTGTGTGTGTGTGTGTGTGTGTGTGTGTGTGTGTGTGTGTGTGTGTGTGTGTGTGTGTGTGTGTGTGTGTGTGTGTGTGTGTGTGTGTGTGTGTGTGTGTGTGTGTGTGTGTGTGTGTGTGTGTGTGTGTGTCTCTGAAGTGATCAACTGGAGATGTATACAGGGTGTCCCTAGCCTCTCACCTGGGGGCTCAGAGCCCCCTTCAGACAGGCCATGAAAAACGGAAATGTTCCGGAATCTGTCCGTAAGACCTTTGTGTCTGAATACAAACATCCGGATAACGTGTTCCGGAATTTATCCGGACGAAGCCCCTAGTAACAGGTCCGGACTTGTTACGGACAAGGTGGCTGCTTCAGACTGGTGAGGTAAAGTTCCGGACAAGGGGGAGGGGGAGGACGAGGGGACCGGGGGAAACTGTGCGCACCTAGATAACGTATATATCATGTGACTGGGAAGGTATACCACGTGATGTCCCTCCTGAGCACAAAAACACAGAGGAAAGAAGGCGAACATCTGAACAGCATCTCCAACATGTCGACCAATTGGACAGATTCAGAGATTCGAGACCTACTCAGTGAGGGGAGACATGATCATTATGAAAAGTATTCAAGGTACAGCGCGAGACTCTGTCACCTACGACCGCCTAATAACGGAGTTGCGTGGGAACGCACCGGAGCAAAC